CTGTGATTTTGATGATTGCTATGTGCAGGCAGCACTGTCCCTCCTAGTGCAGGTTGCCATGCCTACCCACATCCACATTAGCCCACAGGACTAGACCTCTAGCAACAAGCTCAGTATCCAGTCAACCAAGTGTCAACCCTCCAGAGAATAGAGACAAGACCCCGATCCCATAAAATGCCCTATTTCCCATCCTATGACAATAGGATGATCAAGTCAGGAGAGGGAGATGGAGGGGCAATCAGAAGAGATAGGGATGTAGGGCACAAAGTGGCTGACATAGCATGGCTGACATGCCAAGCGATTGTACAAATGACCATCACCTACTAGAAGAGATTGCCCTTTGTGAAACCTTTGCAGGTATGGAACAGTTGTTCTTAGCAACCAGCTTGCATACATTTCTGGAAAGCTCCTTGGCTCCATAACCTTTACCTCACCCTAGCAGCAGCTGGTCCTAGTAACAAAGGCTAAAACTCTGATTGGCTTAGAATCCCTGTGAGAAAAGGCAGAGCAAAAGACCCCAGCCCAAGAAGCTCCTTTCGAGCTTCTCCGTGCTGTTGCTTGCCTATCAGCTTTTTCTTCACCTTCATCATCATAGCAGTAAACTTCTGCTTCACACTACTGTATTTCCAAATTCCACATTCAGTGCCTTGGATGACTTGAGTCCTCTTTTTCTGACCGGGGGTGGGGGGGTGGGGGGAGGTCTTCAACTTTGAGTCAGCCTTGACTTGACTCCTTCTTGCGTTGCTCATCAGAGGGAGGGCATGGACCTAAGGAATGGGGAGCATACCATGAGAGCCCCATAGGTCTCCAGATCCCCACCCTAATATTCAATACTTGATGATAACTTCTTCAGAAAGCTGAGCTGTTCTAATTCTTGTCACCCTCTTTTTATTAGTATATATATCATAACCACTCTTTGTGGTAAACCACCTCTCAGCCTTTTTCTTTCTGCACATAAGTGAAATAAATCAGCCACAGAGGTTAAATATTGTATGTTCTGTATAAATATATATAAACATATATAAATATATGTATTGTTGTGTAAGGGAAATCCCTTACAGAAAAAAACCCAAAGTCTGAATAATTTACTACACATTAAAAAATAACTTACTGGACAAAAGATGCTAAGAAACAGGGAGATAGACTGTGTAGAGATGGGAAGAAGATCTTTAATGCTTGTTTTTCTGTTGCTGATTTTTTGTTTGATTTGGCTTGGTTTTGAGGTCGGGTCTTTATAAATTGCCCAGACTGGGCTTGAACTTTTGGTCTTCCTGTCACAGCTTCTCCCAGTGGTGCACCAGTTTGCCCATTGAGAAAATTTCACAGCTCCTTTAGGTAATTCCATTAGTTTAAGTGAAAAATCACTATTATAGAGTCTTACAAATTTCAGGCCAGTTACACTAAATAGATTTATCTCAGTCCAGGTGTGATCTTTTCATTAATTATCAGCTTATTCTAAAAATGGTGTTCTAAACTTCTATGTTTGAGTAGTTTGCTATTCAGTAATAGATAATATACTTCTTTTAAAAAGACTTTGCCCTAAGTCCCACCAAATGACATCTGTTTATATTTTGGTGACCAAAACCGTGACACATGGCCACACTTAGGGGCAGTGTGCAAGAGAGACTGGAAAATGTAAGTGCTTTTTTGTGCACGTGTATGCGTGTATGTGCTTATACACAACAGCATCTCCAACATTCTGTAAGAAGCCAGACAAGCTGGTAATCCTAGGACTAGGAAGGCTGAGGGAAGAGGCTTTTCAGTTCCAGGTCAGCCTGAGACCTTGGGGAGAGGGTGAGGGGGAAAGGGGGGGCATAATTAACAATTTATGCTGTACTCAGAGGTTTTGGTCCTTTACGTTTCACATACAGATACTTGGGGCTGAGGTATTGCTCAATGGCAGAGTGCTTGAGTAGCACATGTGAGGCCCTGCGTTTAATACACACACACACACACACACACACACACACACACACACAGAGCAACAGATATTTGAAGAGAGCCTACAATGTGAAAATCAGAAAAACTTTCATTGTCACTTTTTTCCATGTTTTTATTCTGTACATGTACAGAATGTATACGCAGGCAGTTGGAGAGGTGGTGCCCACCTCAGGGGTCTCAGAATCCAGAATAAACCAAAACCAAAACAAAATAACAGATTAAAGGAAAAATGACAGAGTAAAGGAAAATGACCATAAAGAAACTTGGAGGGAACAGGAGAGAAGAAAATCAAAGCTACATAGCAAATACTAATAGGGTCTTCTCTTTTTGCCAAGATGGAGTAAAAGGCATCACATTTACTATTCTACTTTACTATTTACTTTTCTACAACGGAAAAACAGGAAAAATAAATTTAAAACAATGGGTCAACACACTGTATGAAACAGAGAGACAGGAAGCAAAAGAGATAGGCTTTGTAATTACACAGTTCAGAAATACATTAAGAGGTGGGTACCATGTCATTCACCTGGAGTTCCAGCTACTCAGGGGGCTGAGGCAGGAGTACCATGAGTTCAAGGTCAGCCTGGGGAACAGCAAGACTGTCTCAAAACATTTTTTAAAATAAGTAAAAAATAAAATGAAAGGGATTAACAGTGAGTGAAGTATCCCAGAATAAAAGAATAGTGGGCTTAAAGACATGGAAAATACTCAATATGAAACCTAGAGGGCAATTAAGACTAAATATCCCAACATGACCAGTGAGGCAGGGAAAAACTCTAAAGTGCCAAATAAAAATATTTGGAGTCCCTGGAGGAAGAAGGTTCTATGGCTTGGCTATGCTTCAGATGTGCCCTCCAAGGGCACCCATCTGGGAGGTGGGGTCTCGATGTGGGAGTGTGAACAGATGGGGAGACCCCTGGACCCAGTGGGGTTGAGTAGGTCCTCAAGAGTGCTGCACCCAGGAGGGGCTTAGTTTTCCCAGGGCCCTGAGTTGAGTGTAAATTGTTGTTGAAGAGTGAGCCTAGCTCTGGCTTTCTGTCTTACTGTATTTTAGGGAAAGTTGGACAGACAGGGAAAGGCAAAGAGCCATAGAGAGGTTTCTGGTAAATAAAGTTAAACCCCTGCTAGAGAGAGCAGCAAAGAAAACCAGAGCTGATAAGAAGGCCTGTCCTGGCTACCTAGATGCCAAGACCTCAGTTCCTCACCACGCCCACCTCAAACTAAATGCAAAAAAGACCAAGCAGGGAGGGAGACAACATTATAGAAATCTCACTAAGTATATAAAATACATACTAACACCTGGACACATGCATGTATGTATAGTCTCTCACTATATTAATACACTAAAATGCACATGTATCCTTTATGCTAACTTGGCCTTGAATGTGAGGCTCTGTCGTAAATCTTACAAGATAAGCACCTGGACAGCACAAAGAGACCAAAGAAATGCTTATCCAAGAATGTACATGTGGGCAATGGTAGGGAAAGTAGCCAAATCAGGGGTGTTGGAGATCACAATAGCCAATCAAGTTATAACAACTCACAATGGGGAAGTCCTCTCCCTATCTTGCCATGTAAGAAGAGCGCTCAGAACTAGGTGTAGTGGAGTACCCTGTAATCTCAGGGTAATATCAGGAGCAGGGATCCCTCAGTTTCCAGGCCAGCCTGAGCTACATAGTAAGTTCAAGGCCTGCCTGTACTACAAAGCAAGACCTTGTCTCAAAAAGAAAAAAATAAATGAATAAATAAATAAGAGAGAAAGAGAATGAAATCATCTCTCTCTCTCTCTCTTTTTTTTTTTGTACTGGGGATTGAACTCATGACCTCACACTTGCCAGGCAGATGCTTGTACCACTGAGCTAAATCCCAGGCCCAGAAAATGGGATCCTAAAAACAAAGAATATTGAGTAGGCATCTCTACTATCTTATTTCGTTCCTTTCCAATACAGTGATTTTGTATCTCCTAAATTTGTGTTTCTATTTCTTTAATTGATATAAAGCTGGGAACCCATAGATAAAAGATAAGATTCACCCTGTCAGATGCCGACAATGTGGTCTCTTACTCTCACACACGGCATTTGCCATGCTGTGACAGACAAGAGGCCCACAGATATGTAGCGATAGTAACATAAAATGAACTAATAAAAGAAAAGAGGGAGAGAAAAAAATTAAAGAAATTATGGTTGAAAAAGTTTCCAAACTTGATTGGAAACCTTACACCCATAGATTCATGGATCTCAGCAAACACCTGCAATGAAAAAACATAAAGAGCTGGGTCTGATGGGGTACACCTTTAATTCCAACACCCGGGAGACTGAGGCAGAGGATTGTTGCAAGTTTGAGGATAGTTTTAGCTACCTAATAATAAGGCCACCCGGAACAATGCAAGACTGTCTCAAAACAAAACAGAAATACCCAAGTACATTGTAATCAAATTGCCTAAAACTCTTGGCAGAGATATTTTTTAACAGTATCTAGAGGACAAATGACACAATACTGAGTAACAAGGATAAAGGTTGGTGCAAACATTGGCACATGTCTCTAATCCCAGCACTCTGGGTGCCTGAAGCAAGAGGATTACAAATTCAAGCTGAGTCTTAGAAATCGCAATTTAGTAGGACTGGTGATCTAGCTTTTGTCCAAAGGCCAGGGTAAATTTGAAGTACTGCATAAATAAATAATTTTTTAAAAAAGAGTAGCCAGGTGTAGTGACACAAACTTGTAATTCCAGCTAATTGAAAGATGGAGGCAGGATTCCAAATTGGAGCCCTGCATAAAGAACCTAGCTACTCTGTCTCAAAATTAAAAATAAAAAAGACTGGGGGTATAGCTCAGTGAGAGAGTGCTACTGGGGTCAATCCCCAGTGGCAAAAAACTGACCACATATAAAAACTGAAAGAATTCATTGGTAATATTGCAATACAAAAAAAATATTTAAAAAGTCTTTGTAGAAGCATAATGATAGCCAATACAAACAGTCAAATCTACACAAAGAGATGAAAAGCATCTGAAAGTAAAACTACATGGGTAAATACAAAGACAGTTATTCTTTTTTTCCATTTAATACAAATAATTTGCCAATGTCATAAAGTTTGAGGGAGGCAATTCCACACAGTGACATGAGGACACAGTCATGCTTGTGAACCACAAAAGGACTTGTTCTTATTTAAATCTCTCACTCTGTGTTTTGTTTTGTTTTTTGTCTTTTTGAGACAGGATCTCACTGTGAGTTCAGATTGGCCTTGAGCTCACTTTGTAGCCCAGGCTGGTCTTGAACATGCAGCAATCTTTCTACCTCAGCCTCCAGAGTGCTGGGATTTTAGATGTTTGCCACCATGCCTGGCTTCTTATTTAAATCTCTTTATGGGTCATTTAAGTCTTTAAAAGAAACATAGTAGCAATATATTTTGCTGTTTATGGGACATAAAAAAGCAAAATACAATAATGGAGCACAAAAGTTGTTGGTGGTGTAAGATTCTTCTTAAGTTATATGCAAAGCAATATAGTAGGTAGCCCTTGAAGGTACACTGTGCTAAGTTATATATACCATAAAGCCTAAAGTAAGCATGGAAATATATACATTATATATCACATGTACTCATCTAACCATATATGCGAGGACCATGTATTTTCCTGTATAAAATGCTTTTAAATTTTTAAACTTTTAAAATTGTATATAAATTTTATTTATTTATTTAGCTTAAGAGTAGGAAAATTTATTGGAAAATGAAAATGGGAGAAAGGCGGGCTGGGGATTTAGCTCAGCGGCATAAGCGCCTGCCTTGCAAGCAGGCAGTTGTGAGTTCGATCCCTCGTACCGATAAAAAGGAAAAAGACCAAAAAAAAAAAAAAAAAAATGGGAGAAAGGAATGGGGAATGGAAAATGGACAGCTCTTGAGAGACCGGAGGGGTCCAAAATGGGTCATCCTGTATATAAATGGTTTTCTTTTGTTTTGTTGTCTTTTTTTCTTTTTGTCTTTTTCCTTTTTTTTATCAGTACTGGGGAGTGAACTCATGACTGCCTGCTTACAAGGCAGGCGCTTATGCCGCTGAGCTACATCCCCAGCCCCTGTTTTTGTCTCTTTGAGATAGGGTCTCCCTATGCAGTTCAGGCTGGTCTTGAACTCACTTTGTAGCCCAGGCTGGTCTCAAACTTGGAAACTGAGAGCTGGGATTACAGGTGTGTGCCACCACACCCCACATTGTATATAAATGTTATGTCAAATAATATTCAAAAATTGCTGGGCATGATGTTACATGCTTGTAATTCTAGGATTTAGGAGGCTGAGGCAGGAGAATTCTGTGAATTCAAGGGCAGCCTGTACTACCTAGAGAGTTCAAGACCAGTCTGAACTGCATAGAAAGAAGACCTTGTCTAAAAATAAATAAAATTTAAAAAGTAAAAATTAAAAAAATAGAAATAATGTTAGCAACTTATTAAGAATATGAGGTATAATGGTGAAAGAGGCATGCTTTGTGTGGCTTCTTGATCACCTCATTGCTTGCTGATAATTACTTGTCTTTGATCTATATTGTTCATCAGAGTGCTTGAATGAGATTACTCAGGTAATTAGAAGTGTATCCTCAAGGGAACAACCTCCTTGTTTTCTCTCTCTCTCTCTCTCTGTTTTGAGTCAGGGTCTTCTTGTTTTACATTTCAGGCTGGCCTCAATTTACTATGTAACCCAAACTGGGCTCAAACTCAGTGATCCTCCTGCATCAACCTTCCAAATCTGGGATTACAGGTGTGTACCACCACGCCCAGCCTCTTGATTTCTTTTCCTTCCTCACAATCAGGTGAACAGTTTTGCTCTGCCACACACTGCTGCCATAATGTGCTACCTCAGCCAGAGCAACAGAAAAGGTGATTGTGAAGTGAAACCTCTAAAACTTTAAGCCACATTTCTCTGTCTCTCTGTCTCTGTCTCTGTCTTTGTCTCTCTGTCTCTGTCTTTGTCTCTCTCTGTCTTTGTCTGTCTGTCTGTCTGTCTGTCTGTCTCTCTCTCTCTCTCTCTCTCTCTCTCTCTGTCTTTTATGGGGTCTTACTATGCAGTTCAGCCCTGCCTTGAACTCACTTTGTAGCCCAGATAACCCACCTGCCTCAGCCTCCCAAGTGCTGGGGTTATAGCCTTGCATCACCATGCCTGGCTAAACATTTTCTCTTTCTGAGTTGGTTATCTCAGGTATTTATTATAGTAATGGAAAGCTGATGAAGACACGTAGATGTTAAGACAATATCAGGCTGGGGATTTAGCTTAGCGGCATAAGTGCCTGCCTTGCAAGCATGCAATTGTGTTTGATCCCCGGTAAAAGACAGTATCACCTGACATTCACACATCTGGTTTAGAATCCTCTCTCTACCATTTATTATCTGGATGTCATGAGAATGTTATGAGTAACATTTAATGTATCTGAGCCCTGATTTTCTCACCTAGAAATAGAGATGAGAATACTACTAACATCATATGGCTCTTGTGAGGCATACATATGATAATACACACGAAGTGCTTGTCACAGCTCCTGGGACACCAAACATGATCAATTAATACTATTATTACTGTTATATAGCAAGGTTTAAAAAAAAAAGAGTGCTATAACAAATAGAAGACTGAAATTTGACCAGAGACCTGACTGCATTCTTAGGCAAGAAACTAGAGGATTTTTAGAAAGGGGATCTGATTCAGATCAGTGTTGTGAGGGTCCAGTGGGCTGAGTGGTTCTTACTTTACGTCACTGACACTGTCAAGACTTAGTTCATTGCACTGAGATGGCATAGAGGCACTGCTTCTCCTCTGAGAGCCCAGCCATTAGGGAGACCCTGGGAGAAGAAAAAGCCACCAAGCTGGGAGCACTTTGGTCTTACTTAGAATACCAGTTTAAGATTTAAAAAAAGGAAAAAAAGCAGTTTCGGCCAGGAACTGTTTCAAAGCTAAGCAGTTTTTCTTGGGGAAAGTTGAAGGATTTGGCCAGATACCACCTGTCTCACTTGATCCAAACTCTTTGTTGCTTAATCACTCGATTCTCACGTGGCCTGTGTGCTTTTGCCCCATAGTTTAACCATTTATCCCTCACAGGGCCTGCATGATTTTGCACCATAGTTGAATTATTTGTGTGCTTTTGCTCCGCATTTTAACCATCCACTCTTCAGAAGAACCTATGCACTTTTGCCCTGCAGTTTAATCATTCTTTCTTGGTCAAAACTTAACATCCACAACTTAAAGGAGGAGAGGTGCATTTTGGCTCTGTCTTAGAAGTTTCAGTACTTGCATGGTAGGTAGCAAGGTGAAGTGGCCTGGGTAGAAGGCAGCTGCTCACCATGTCCTGGCATCAGGGTAACAGACAGCCAGGGGAAGAGCCACAAAGGAAAATGCTGTCCACCCTCACATTCCCACCCACAGTGACCTGTGGCTCCAACCACACCCCTGTTCCTCACAGCAAGTCAACTGTGATATACTCACAATCCAGTCACCTTCCAAATATGCGAGCCTTTGGGAGGTCATTTTAGATCTAAACTATAGCAGGGAGTGCTTCTCTAAATGATATATTTTCCCCCTAATTCATGAAATCTGTAAATGTTGTCTCATTTGGAAAAAAGAGCAAATTAAGGTAATTAAGATCTTGTGTTGAAATTATCCTGAATTAACCAATGGATGGATCCTGAATCCAGAGGTGTGTATTCTTGTAAGAGACACATTGGCTGGGCATGGTTGTGCACACCTATAATCTCACTGAGGTGGGAAGATTGCTATGAGTTGGAAGCCATCCTGGGGTATATAGTGAGTTCAAGACCAACCTGAAGTGTGAACCATGCAGCAAGACCCTGTCATAAACAAGCAAACAAAAAGTGAAAGATTAGTAACAAGTAGGCCTGGGGTGTGAAGGACCACTGAGATGGCTCTCATTCAAAGAAGAGCATTTGTCTCTATTTTGGCTAAACCTAGCTCTAATTCTGTGTGTTGATATATACAGAGCTGGCTGGGATATTTCTTACCCTTTCAATTTCTTTACCCTTTAAGCAATGCAAATAGGTCTATCAAGGTGCTGATGTGTATCTTTAAAGCAATCTGACGGGTCAGTGATGCCCCACTTATAGCTTCCAACTATACGCATGAGATAGGTCAAACGATGCACTGAGTTGTTGCTGTCTGCCAAATCTGAGGTTTGAGAACACATGATGTGTCAGGGCATGAAGATCAGACACCACAGCTGAAGCACCAAGCCCAAAACACAAGATAACGCCCCCAAGCTGTGTTACACAGATTACTCTTTGTGCATACCTCTCTCTGCATGCTGCCAAGATGCTATTGCGCTTCCTACTTAGCCTAGCTCACAGCACTCACATATTTCCCACCATTCTCACAGTCACTCATCCACGGGAAACTCCCTTTTCACAAATTAATAAAACCTGGATTTGGTCCTGGGCTGAAGCTTTTGTTCCAGTTAGCCATTTTTCTAACTGGATTTAGGACCCGCTTGGCTCCCCACCTACCATGGATATGCATTGGTCTCTTTATTCAAGCCATGGGTTGCACGGCAAGTGGTAGATTGGAATTACCTATTGGAATTCCAATAAATTTTCCCTGGGATTACAAATGTGTATCCTTCTGGACTGTGAAGGGACTGGGGGAGTGGCATCCCTGTATTGGGAATGGAAATTGATGAAAATATTTATTCTTGTGAATATCCAGTAAGAGGGTATTCATTATAGAAGAGGATGCCACCTCACCCTAATGGTCCAACCTCTTTCCCCAGCATCCCAGGAGCTGTTTAATGGAACTATGAACACAATAGACACATTGGCAGGTCTAGAGGCTATACGTGAGTGAGTTGTACAGTGTAAACCTTTCACCAAAGCTGATTTGACCTCATATGTGTATCCACTATGCCAACCGTGGAGACCAACACTAAACTCTTGATATGATATTCTGGAAGGCACCAGGCATTTTTTTTTTTTTTGGTGGCAAATTTACTGCACTGAAAATCAGCTATATAACAAACTGTTAGGAGAGCTGGGCATGGTGTTTGGGAAGCTGAGGCAGGAGGATCACCACAAGTTCAAGGCCAGCCTTGAGTGAGTTTGTAATGGTTGATACATTGTGCCAACCTGAGAAGGCCAGAAGTTTTCACAGGGGCAGGGTCCTTACTTTGTAACATCC